ATCATGACAAATGGCGAGCCGCCGCCCAAGACGAATTTCAGTCCCTTCACGACAACAAGACCTACGATCTTGTTCCACGCCTAAAAACCATGACTGTCCTGCCCTGCCGATGGGTCTTCCGCATCAAGCCCAACGGCACGTACAAAGCACGCCTAGTTATCAAAGGATTTCTGCAACGCGAAGGCGTTGACTACGATGACATCTTTGCGCCTGTCGTATGCCTTGAAGTTCTCCGTTTTCTTTTCATCATGGTGGCCATCTACGACCTTGAGTGTCATCAAATGGACGTCAAGACCGCCTTTCTCAACGGGACCATGGACCGCGTTGTCTACATGGAACAGCCGCCTGGCGACCTCGTGACCGACGTCTCTCGCCGCGAACTCGTCTGCCGCCTAAAACGCAGCCTCTACGGCCTAAAACAAGCGCCTAACCTATGGTACTGGACCTTTGTCGACTACATGACATCCCAAAAGTACACCCGCCTACACAAAGACCGCTGCGTCTTCATCAAGACCGACGCCTCCGGTTTCACCATTGTCAGCCTCTACGTGGACGATATACTTATTCTTGCGCCTACTCTTTCTCTCGTCCTCGCCTTGAAGGCTTCTCTCTCTCAACGGTTTGCCATGAAGGACCTTGGCGAAGTCTCCGACATTTTGGGATGGCAAGTCGAACGCAACCGAGCAGCTAAGACCATCTTTCTACACCAATCTCGCTACGCCGAAGCCATCCTGGACCGCTTTGACATGGTGAACTGCAACCCAGTTTCTACGCCTTTTAACCCCAGCCTCACTCTATCCGCCTCCCATTGCGCGACGACGCCTCACGACTTCGCCTTCATGATCGGCAAGAACTATCGCTCGGTCGTCGGCAGCTTCATGTACTTAGCTATGGGCACTCGTCCCGATCTCGCCTACACTCTCCAACAACTTAGTCAGTTTCTCCACAACCCTGGCCCTACTCATTGGTCTGCCGTCCAACGTGCCCTTCGTTATCTCAAAGGCACCCGCACCTAAGGCATCCGCCTTGGTGGCATCGCCTCTATCGACGATTTCCCTTTTCTCTCCGCCTACGTCGATGCGAACTATGCTATGTGTGTTGACACTAGACGGTGCATCAGTGGATTTTTTACTCTCTTTTTCGGCTCACCCGTGTCGTGGCTTGCCAAGAAGCAACCCCTCGTCACTCTGTCCACCACGGAAGCTGAGTTCGTTGCCCTCGCCTTATGCATTCAAGAACTTCTCTATTTACGTCAACTCGCCTCTGAACTCCAACAAACGTCCGATCAACCTGTCGTCGTACATGAAGACAATCAGTCTACCATCAAGATCGCTACCAACGCCGAACTTCACGGCCATTCAAAGCACATCGACGTCCGCTACATGTTTGTACGTGACCTTGTGGACTCCGGCGAATTCCAGCTCAAGTGGTGCAGCTCTGGCAACCAACTTGTTGACTTCTTCACCAAACCTCTTCCGTCACCCGCCTTTGCCGATCTACGACCACGTATCTCCATCATTCCCCTCTCCGCCTTCACTACACGATCTCAAACGCCTATCAATACATTTTTTTATTATTATTCACAAGTCTACTCTACGCCTTCCCGCCTATCCGATCTCACTTTATTTCCTTCTCTTCGTCAGCGCCTATCGTCGCCTACACCGATATTTTTTTTTTCTACTCTTTTCTTCTCTTCGTCAGCGCCTATCGCCGCCTACACTCCCAATTTTTTCTATTCTTTCCTTCTCTTCGTCAGCGCCTATCGTCGCCTATATCCCCAAATTTTTTTCCTACTCTTTTCTTCTCTATGTCAGCGCCTATCGTCGCCTACACACCCAAATTTATTTTTTACTCTTTTCTTCTCTTTGTCAGCGCCTATCGTCGCCTACACTCCCAAATATTTTTGTTCTCTCTTCTTCTACGCCTACCATCTATTCTCTTCCTTTATTTTTTTTTCTTTCACTCCGCCTACCTTAATTTCTTTTACTACGCCTTACCGTCTACGCCTATCACCCACATTCCTTCTTTCTTTCCTCTCTTATTACGCCTTACCTTCAACGCCTAAGAAAATCTAAGTCATCTTCGCCTCCCGCACTTATTACTATTTTTCTATCTTATTCCGCCTTACCATTTACACCTTCACGCCTTACCATTTACGCCTTACCATTTACGCCTTACCATCCACGCCTTACCATCTACGCCTTCCAGTCTACGCCTACTATGCCTACCCTCTATTTGCCTTGTGCATTTCCTTCTACTTTTCCCTCCTTCCACTTAAGTCTCTTCTCCTACTTGTACTTTTCACGCCTATATATTCAAAAACATTTACCCTACGCCTTTTTCGCGGACACTCATGGCTCATGGTGGCGTGTGTCTGCTTTCTGCTCTGTTTGTGAGCCCTGCTGCCCGTTCAAAGGCGTGCCCATTTTTCGGCTTGTGAAAAGTGGTGGCTGTCAAGTGGTGCTTTTCCCTCGCCTGTGTTCACGCCTT